CGATTTTTCACTTTTATAACATTTCAATTCAACGACTATACGCACTCAAGTCTAAAACGCAACAACAGGTAAGGGATCAATCAAAAAAGAGGAAATCAAGAATCTGTGTATCAGGGGCATCTGGATGTATGTAGGCGTAGGAGTGACGGCCTCAGTGTTGATGATAGTGAAGGGAACACTCGTAATCGCAACTCGACACCGATCCCACAGTCATACTCAGACATCCAAAAGCACAACCATGGGTGTGGATGCTAGTCTTGAGTCAACATACACCAGCACCCAGATCCTCATAGCTACAGCCACACCAGATGAGAAGGAGACTTGATATCTCTTTTTCAACCACTCATTCGAATCTATAAAGTTGTCAAAAACTCCTCATAGTTTTTGAATAGATAAACGAATATCAGTTGATTCTTCTATAGAAGCCAAACTTTATTTTAACATGGTTTTTAAATATTTAAAAGAACGAAAAATTGCGTTCAAATTGAAATATACTCTATGTTTAAGTTTCAATCTTGCTTTCCATGATATACTTGTAACGAGAATTTTTGTTTTTATTGTTCTATTTCAGAGTAACAGTACTCGAATCAATGCTAGTAATTTATCAGAAATATGAAGCCAATATGCTGCGTATTCAGATATCCATATCTATTACAATATCTTCATATTCTGTATACCTTCATTTGTCTATAGTAAGAGATGTATCTCTGAGAATTGTAGACAGATATCAATAACTATCGATCAAAGTTTTCGAGCATCTGTGGAGTTCATTTGCGTACCCCTCAGGGAATCATAACTAACACAGTGTGATTTAGGGACTTTAATGTACATCGATCCTCACAATAAAATTGTTTTAGTTCTACAACCGTACAGTCAGTTTCAATCGAATTCGGATCATATATAGTCAGAGTATGGCATTACCAAAGCGGAAATTTTCGACTCATAAAGTTTTTACCTTCATAGGTTATCAAGTTCGTAGTGGAACGGAATCGCTCATATCATTACTCTGCTGTGCGTAGTCGAATGGCGATACGGTTTTGTAAGCATTATATATGATTCATACTATAGGAAATGCAGTGAACGAAGAGAATGAAGAAAAAGACGACCTTCGTGGGACTCGAGTCCACATCTCCTGTTATCCGAGCAAGGGTGCGGGTGGGTGTGGGTGTGGATGTGGGTGTGGTGTGGGTGGTGGGTGTGTGGGTGGGTGTGGTGTGGGTGGTGGGTGTGTGGGTGTGGGTGGGTTGTGAGTGTGGGTGGATTGTGAGTGTGGGTGGGTTGTGAGTGTGGGTATCTTCTCTTTACTACACCTACACTCACACCAACACCCTCAGCCACACCCACACGCACACCCACCACCCCCCTCAGCCACACCCACACGCACATCCCACACCCAAACTCATACCCACACTCACACTCACATCTGCCCACGCTCACACCCACCCCACACCCACACCCACACCCACACCCACACCCACACCCACACCCTCGAAGATGTCGTCATTGATTGGCATTTGAAGTTGTTCATGAAATAGTATTGTCCGTATCGTGATTTCGCTCTTTCAAAGAGTCACAAAACAAATTTGTCTCAAAAATAAGAGTATAAAAAATAAGAGTTTAATAATCTATTCTTGCTGATCTTCTCCTACAAAAAGAAAAAAAGTCGAATTCTTAATGTGGCGAGTTGGGCATATATATCTGTCAATAAAAAACCTACATAAATAAGCTGTTCATATAGATAGAATTGAGTCAGTTTTTGGCACTGGAAAAAAATGTCGCAAGAAGCTCGAATAAAACATGAGAGCTTCGTGCCCAAACATTAAAAATCAATTAAAGAAAATGCTTTAAAATTTTATTATGAGCTTGTTGAATAACACTGTTACTTACAGAAATATAACGTAAATAAGACAATGAAATCTAACGTCCACGAGCTTGAATTAAATGATCAAGAACACTTGGAGTCGTTGCAGATGTAGTAGCACCTACTTGCAGAGTGTGACCACTGTAAGAAGAAGCTTGAATACCTAATTGCATCAAGACATGTCTTAAGTTTTCAATAAACGTTCTACAAGTTCGTGGTTGACCGTTTGGTAAAATGAATAAAGAAGAATTATCTTGCTTGCTGCTTCATATATGTGTAAATTTAGTCAAAGTATGAACTGCACATGCGAGAGTTCCGTTCTTGAATAAATGAGCATCAATGCCTTTCTTTTCTAAGTCAATCTTTGAGGTTTTAAGGTGAATAATAATTTTGGAGACCTCAAGTGTAACATTGACGTTTATAACATGTAAATTGAGAGAGAATTTATCAGGAAACAATTCATCAGATCGAAAGAAATCCAAAAATACAGCTATAAGCGCTGCTTGTATTAGAATATCAACATAAGGATTGAACACCCCTGCATGTAATTCAACAATTAATTTGTTTAACAGATCTATAGTGACGGGCTTACGTTGTTTTGTGGTCAACATACATAAACGACATGTATCTTGAAGAGCCATCTCAATCTGTGATATATCAGAACCATTCATATCTAAAAGTAGATCCGAGAAACCGACATGTAATCGATAAAAACGAATAGCTGCTAAGTAAGATCGAATGGCGCCATATTGTATATTACGAATACCATGACAAAAAGCTATGAAACGAAGAAGACGAGGGGGGAGGCATATAATCACTATGTATGTTAAAACCTGGCATGGCTGCAAATCGAGTAAAAAGTTTATAACTAGAGGAGTAAGAAGCTTTTGACGTAGCAGAAATTGTATTATTAAGCCAATCAATTACAATATTACCAATTCAATCGATAGAAAAATCAAGTTCTTCATATAAGGAATGTCTCTTGGTTCGAAATTGGCGGACGGTAACAGTTGACGAAACCGAGTTATCTGTAAACGAGAAAGAGCATCTGCTGGAGCATTCTCAGTTGTAGAAATATATACAGCTTGCAGTAAGAAATGATGTTGCATGGCAAGTAAAGTTAATTTTCGAGAAAAAACCATCATGAGAGAACTCATCGATCTGTCTTTATTAACTATATTTTTTTTCTGTTCTGTGTGACGGATCATTGCTATTGTCTCTAAAAGTATAAATATTTTTTTCTTATCTACCAATGAGGATTCATAAGATTTCGGACTATGAATCATGTCAATCACTTATTTTTCGACCTGAATAGACAGAAATGGTAGATGAGCAGAGCTGATTTATCAAAGTCTTGTAATAACAGATGATTGTAGATAACAGTGAATTCTTGTATTAAGAAACTTCTCATTTCAATAGATTGAACAGGCATATCATTTTTTATCGTGATTTACCCGAGGTTTAATAACATAGCTATATTGTTGTAGCATTCATCATAGACGAGATACGATCGAATACAAGGTGAAATGAGAAGAAGCTTTGACAGAATTAAAATTATACTTTCTTGGTTCAGAAATAGTTTTGGATGTTTGCATTGGATCTTGCTAGGTCAGTCCAGCAATCACATCCAAAACCAATGAATCTTTCAAGATTTGTAGAGCTTTATGCTTTGATCATTTCGGTACGAAGTTGTGTTATGTTTCACACTATTTTTATGAAGAAATAGCTCGAATAATATCAAAATATGTGGTATTAGGCGGTTATAATGCATAACAAGCAAATGAATTTTTCTCAAAATTAACCTGAGAGCAGTATTCCGTTTATTTAACTTAGAAATATAACCTACACAGGCGGATTACACTTAAAAAACTCACAACAGATTCTGTATGAAATCTATAACATTTGAAATGCTCACATAATAGCTATCTAATCGTATGTGATGCACACAAGAAGGAAGATGCCTAAAAATATCATTCGAGGTAAATTAAAGAGTTGAGCTATGTGGTATAAATCGCGGTGATTTTGGAGATTTCTACAAAAATGAACATAAAATCGTAATCAATCGTATTAGCAAGGAAACATCAACGATTAAATTAGATTTTATCATTATATGAGTACGAAAACCAATTAATCATAATCTTCGCAAAATCGAAATGATTAGTCACGATTAATGGGAAATTTTTTTATAGTACTGTACAAATTTTTCATTATATAATGCAAATTTTGACATAAGTATCCATAAAATATAAATTAAATATGTTAGATTGTGATTTTAGAAGTGTAATTACTGCAAGATGAAAGAAAATTATTTACTGCAGTTGATATCAGTATCATATCTTTTATTTGATTGAACAATCAATATCAAGACCAACGTTTTGTTCATTCTTTATATCCATTAGCAGATAATATTTGAACGTTTAATTCGATTTAAATGAGATATTTATTCTAATTTAATGTATGTGTGCAAATTCTTTCTATTGAAAATAACTGAGTTGTTGGTAAAGATTTAATACTCTTTGATGGATTTAGATACTGTAGCTCATAATTATCATCCTTCGTTCGTTTTTTTTTTTGAAAAATCTTTTATTCATTTTCTTTCTGCTTGTCGTTTGTACATAATTTTTCGCTTGTGTTTAGGGAAATACGGATTAAATAGTTTCTTTTTTACTTTGAATTCAATTATTACTGTTATGATTCTTTAATTCGTAGCTGATTGTTTGAGGTGTGAGTTTGGGTATAGAGAAAGAGTCCCCACATCCACAACCTAAGTAAACTGTTTATTTCTTTTTCCTTCGATTCCAATCGTATTGCTTGATGAGACAAGACCTCAAGCATCAACGTCGATATCCAATTCTGGCAGTATTGTGAACAGAAACACATTAGCTTTCTTTTTAACTTTTTCTCTATAGATTTTTAAATCTAACATTGGTGAACAAATTAATCTTCTTCACATGCCAGCTGACACAGCGAACCCAAATAAATTTCTATTAAGGGTTATCGATCGACTTTTCAAAAAAGAAAAAGAAATGCCTGATATTGATATACGTTGTATTGATACAGAGGATCGAATTACGATTATTCGACATTAACCATTACAAAATTGTCACCTAATAATTTTTATTATTATTATAGATGCTGTTTAAGGTAAATTCAGTTTAGCAGCTGATGAGCCGGTACTAGCTGTTTTTGTACGAATGCTTGAATGTGTCAAGTCTAAAATAAGAAATATAAAAGCTAAAATTTGAAACAATATGATTATATCTGGTAGTTTCTGTTTCGGTAGATCCTGATATGTGTTTTGACGTTTTTCTCTTCTAAATAATGATAATCTTAGTAGTAATTCGAGCAATCAATCAACACAATCGATATCACTCATACAACAAAATCTCAACATTCAAGAAATCAATAAACAGTTCTAATGATTATTAGAGTGAGAAAAAGCTTATTAAATCTGGATGTTCTTATTATTTGATATATTGTGATTATTATAATTAATTTTTTATTTTGATTTTCCGTAGGTTTTTTCTATACGTGCACATATTTGATTTAATTTACTTCTTTCACTTAAATCTTATATTCCTAATCTAATCAGTTTAGTTTTCATGCGACTAATATGTCATATTTTTACAACTCAATGGTTATTCATAATTTCTAAACGTGATTCTTTGTCATCTGCCTTTATGCATGTTCATTACAATATTTTTATTTTCTTTTGTCTACTTCATGAGGAAAATTTGTGAAGAACGAATAGATGATTCTCTATGATTTATCTTTTTGTTTTTATTACTACTTTTACTATTAGATGAGATCAAAATAGTTGACATTTTTGAGAAAAAAAGCTGAACTAAAAAAAATATGCTGTTAATAAACGACCAACTTGTATGGGTTATATTCAAGGGGGAAAAAGCGGATCCTCGGATCTTCTGGATCCCACTCAAGGGAAAAGTTGGATCCTTTGAGATCCTAGGATCCAAAAGGATCTCAAAGGATCCGAAAGGATCTAAGAGGATCCAAAGGATCCAAGGATCCGCTTTTCCCCCCTTAGTTATATTTGTCCATTTTCTTTATATCTAGATCAACCTTTTGTCAGTACATTGAAATTTTATCTCTTCTCTTGTATGATTTTTGTTTCTCTACGTCTAGATATATTATTGTTAAATTTGTGAGACATTTTTGTCACTTGTTTACATCAGTGAACACGTTTTTCTTTCTTGAATCGAATCGAATCTGAAGTAATATTTTCTTATTCGTTTCGGTGTTTGATGAGGATGAAATAGTCGATGAGCATAGTTTTTGTTTTGGTTTCTTATCGTATTGCAGATAAGAATGGATTCATAATCAGTGTTAAAAATGAACTGAGTAGGTTAAGTTCAAACAAATTCTATGAGGACATAAGTGTATCATCGAGACCTATCCTATGTTTAGCGATAACGCTCTCAAAATTTTCTTTATTGAAACAAGTTTTAACAAAACTATTTACAACAAAGGAAAATATTGATGATAATTTTCTGAACAAACAAACGATTCAATCGTATGAATACATAATTAATCATTCCATTTTTCTTTTTTCTATATATTTTTTTTTAATTTTATTAAAGTTCACTCATCTAAATGATGGTAGAAATACACAAACAACATTATCAAAATATTTTTTTCTATTGAAACAATTTCCAGTGAAAAATGTTGTACAAAAGAACGCTTTCCAAAATGCCCTTCTTTTTTTTTCCTTAAAAAACATTCCAACAAGTGGACAGCGTTCTTTTTTTTACTGGATTATTAGGAAAAAACTATATTTACAAAAAAAGGAAAATATTGATGAAAATTTTTAGAAGGAACAAATAATTCATTTTTGAAAAGATATTTTATTCGAGAACAATTGAGACGTGCTGAATCATTAGTAAAATTGTTTGTTATAATGACTAATGTTTCATATCCGATATTTAGCTTGAGCAAATTGGGTAGACGAGTGTTTTTATCGAACAGAAATTGTTCAGCATAATCAACATGAGCATTTCTAATATCCAGTTCGATAAGATGAGCGAATGTGATGAATGTAGATGAATGTTGTTTATTTTGTTGTGGTTTTGAATTCTTAAGAGATAAAAGTCGGAGAAAAGGAAAAGCTTGACAGACTTTTTGAAAGAATTCGTGTTCAAATGAATGTGTATCAGACATTTTCAATGATCTAACTTTATTGAATATACCACCTTGAAAAGAATTGTTCAAATTGAGAAAAATGTTGAATTGATATGGAAGTGAAAAGATATGACAATGTCCACCCACATTCTGTGGCAGATTATTAACAAAAGAACCAACATGTCGATTTCCATTTTCGATAAAAATACGTTGAATATCTTCATTTGATGGAAGACCAATTCTAATATCACTATTTATAAGTTTAGTATATATACTGAAATTAAATTTATTAAGTCGTGGCATATGAACGAAAATATCATTATATAAATGTATACCATCGATATAAGTAGAATTCCATCTCATTATATTGAGAAACAATGTCAATTCTTCGAGATTTAACATTCGACGAAGCAATGGAATTATTTTATCATCATAATCATCTATGAGGCAAGTAGAAGTTAGCGAGAAGTGTTTTAGTTTGGGAAGTTTTTTCTATAAAGATATAAAATAAAAAATATTAATGTATTTAATGTAGAATTTTCTCCCTCACACAATGATGTAACATATCCTTACCGTATTATCTATATTTGGTAATAAAGTCAAAAAACTTGAAACATTGATAATTAATATCGATAAACATTTCAGACGTCCATCAAGAAGATAAAGACAATCATCAAAATATCCTACAACGATTTCTAATTTAGTTAAAGTAGATGATACACAATTTGCTAATGGTACATCATAAAGTGAAAACTCTAAAGTTGTATCACATAAATATTGATTAAATGTCAACTCGACTAAATGTTTACAGAATGATAACAGAAATGAAAATATATTTGATGTTTCCTCACGGAATAACTTTGGTATTATTTCATAATAGATATTGACATTAAGATGCGTTATTTGATCAACCAGAAAATGACGAAGAATTGTATCACCTACAATGTAGAAAAAGACGTTCATCATAGATTTATAGTAACTTTAATGTTTTAATGGATAAATCAAACAACAATGAAAACTACCTGTTAAATATCGTAGCAATGTTTCTTCTTGAAAGTTAACTAGTGATAATGAATGAAGTCGAGGATAATCGACAGCACGAAGAATATGTTTTATTGAATAGGGTTCGACAGTCAATTTATTTACATGATGATAGATTCGAGGTAAGATTGTTTTACAAATTCTATTAAGAACTTGATTATCTTGTGAAGAAATATAATCAAACCATGATATTTTCATAGTCAAATCAAGATTATGAATGTAAAATGGATCAAGTGTTAATCGATTAAATCGTTCATTAATATTTACTAATGAATAGAGTACATCGACCATTTTCAACTTGTTGAAAATAACAAGTAATATTTCGTCAGGTAAATTGAGTATGTTGATCATATTGTAGTTATCTGAATTATCCATCTTGAACTAATACTGTCTCTTCATCGCAATCTATATATTATATATATATTCACGTTCTCATTGCCGTCTGTGAGAACAATGAGAGAAAAATGTTGATGTTATGATATTAGATAATAATGAATGAATGATATATATTTTTCTTCCTGCCTAATATTTTTTGTCATTTATTATTTCTGAGTTCATGAGGTCACCGTTCTTTTCTCATAATGTTTATCATATAGCGTGTGTTATCTATAATTCATTATATAGTATTTAGAATAAAATAGAACAAATTAGCTAAACATTCGATATGTACTCAGAAATTATCAGTAGAGATTATATATGATGAAGTTGGATCATTTAAAAATTGTTGAACCAAGCATTGAGTATAGTCATGAAATGATCATAAAACAGTGCTACACCTCAGATCTAGTGGTGTATCCAGATAGAGGCTAGAGGAGACTCAGTCTCTCCTAGACGGTTCTAAGACCATCCTAGAAACGGTTGAGCTCTGCTTAAAATAGCATTGAGTCTCTCCTAGACGTATGATTAGGACGGCTGAGCTTCCATCCTTTCTCTCTCGTCCCTCTACAACTTTTTTCTGGTTACGCCGCTACTCAGGTCGAGTACACTTTTAAATCTCGAAACTGGTCGTATTATGAACAATGTGATCTGTGATGATCTTGACGATAATGATGAGCGTTTTTAATAGAAAGCTGAAACAGAATTATATTCATTTACTTTGCTTCCATTGACGAAGTATCTATTGATATTTTGTTCTAAATAACAAAGTTTCGCAGCATAAAACTGATTCAAGAAAAACAAGACATCTTTGATACTATTTGTATCTTTTAACAAAAGAAAAAAAAACATTTCCATGCAGAAAAGAAAATATCGAAAAATAACGGATCAATAAGTACAAAATACACAGGTTTGTTCAACAAAGTTTAAATTCCGTTTTCAATCAACTTTTACTATCCATATGTATATAATGAATAAGAACTAAATATGCTACAAGAATAAGTCATAGGCAGCGCACCAGCAAGTAACGAGTTAGCAATTGCTTCCTCTAAAAGAATTTGGAGAAGCAATAAATTTTTATTGTTTTCTCTAATTATTCATGTTTCATCCGTATATGTTATATATTATTTCTCAATACTTTCTGAACTTTTGATTACCAAGTAACTTAAGTTTGTATTTCTTTCTGGTTTCATTCATGATCACCATATAAGAACGTACTCATAAGGGAGATCAACTAGCTGCTAACATAAACAGTTAAGGCCTCCCCCCCCACTCAAAAATTGATCTCAGCCCAGGAATGTTCAAATGAGCTGAAATTTGGAGCATATGTTGGGGCTGAAGTGAGGAGTCTGTGATAAAATTTTCAGCTCGATATCCCGATGTTTGACAGAGATATGAACCAAAACAAGGGTCAAAAATAGCTCATTTTCGTTCCAAGATTTCTCGGTCCAGGCTCTGTCAACATATTTAAATTTTTTTTGTTTGAAAGAGTATGTCAGGATGCAGGGCATCACAGAGTCGTTTTTTAAAATTCTTACTTTTTTAGCGAAAGAAGGGGATCACAAGTTCAATGAATCAAAAAACGCGCCAAAAATGGGTGTCTGGTTACATAAATGTTTGTATACGTAACAAAAAACAAAGCTTAATTAAAAACAGGACTATGTGGTGCCCTGCATCTCGACACACTCTTTCAAACAAAAAAATTTAAATATATTGAAAGGATCGGGACCAAGAAATCTTGGAACGAAAATCAAAAAATCATAAACCGAGAAAAAATAAAAAACATTTTTTGAAGTGAAATTTTTCAAGATCTTTGTACTTTTAGACAGTTTTTTGGCATATTTGTAGAGAAAAATCATCAACTATCATATACACTCAGGTGGGGCAATTCGAATCACAAACTAGAAGATCGATTTTATTTTTATTCGTTCTCATTTACTGTACATCGTAACGGGGTGATTTTTGGAGTGTAATTAGAACAAACTGGGCTCTTTCCAAT